AATTGGCTGAGATCGGGAAAAGGTCCGACCGAACTCTGGGTAAGTTCGGTCGGACTCAGGGTAGGTTCGGTCGAACCCTGTGTAGGTTCGGTCGAACCTCCCTGATCCTTGTTTGGTCGAACTTTTGAGGTTCGACCTCTCCTGCAAAATTGCTGAAAACAGGTTTGACACTGCCTTCACTGCACCCTGGAGGTTCGGTCGAACTTTTGAAAAGTTTGACCACACCAAGGTTCGACCGGACCTTCCAGAAGTTCGGCCACACCTCCTCTTGCACTTCCTTTTCTTGCTTCCTCTCCTTCCCTTTTGCTCCTCTTGCCTTTGTCCATGGCTTCCATGCTTGGCCAAGGGGCCTCCCACCGTGCATAGGACCGTCACGGTACCTGCAGAAGATACCAAAGTTCACGAGAGCATGGGGATGATAAAATAATGCATAAAGATTATCAAATTAAGCATTACTTTTCATCAACACAAAAAGAAGCCATAAGAGGACAATGAGGTGAAAACCTAAGAAAAATAAGAGGAAAAAGACCTAAATACTACCCCTAAGAGTGACATAAATGTCACTCATCACCCTCCCCTATATATATATATATTATTCACTTTTTTGCATGAACCAACAATAATTATAACTGTTTGTGTTCCATGAATCTTTTTTATAAATCTTGTATGTACGATTGTAGTATTTTATTTTTGTACCCTTAGACCAAGGCTGGAAATTAGCTGAGAAGTAATTATATTCTATTTTTATTTTCTCTGTTTGGTTCCCTTTCATTGATTTTATTCTTTTTATTTATTCTTTTTATTTATAAATACTAATAAAAGTTTATTGTTACTAACTTTGCTAAAATAATTTGACACACTTCTAGTTGGCGCTCTTGTTAGATTTATAATCTAGTCAAATTTCTTCTCCTTACATTGAGTTGTAATAGTAAAACAATTAAAATAAAAGCAAATTATATATCATTGGCAACAAAATTTTTACGCCAAAAATTGTTGGTGCATGGTAAGACTTTTATTACTCCGTAAGGTAGGATAGGATTGCATTATTACAGTTCACGATGACAACAAAATTGACGGGGCGCAAATATTGTGTTTGATTTTCACCACTTTTGGTATAGGACAGATATTTTTAGTTCCTACCACCTATCCAATTTAATGATCACGATTAAAAATAAACCTCATCATTTTAACCATTAATCTAAATTAGAACAACACATTAAAACTTTCAAACTACTACCTTAGCTTTCTAAACCGTTGAACATAATAAAAAAAATATATAATTTTTTTTTTTTGTTGATACCTTAAATATCTCACCAACTTTTCCTAATTAAATTGCTTGAAAAGTAACCTAATAAACTTTTATCACCTTTAATAATAATGCAACCAATATTCATCTTATCAATTTTGTCCCTCTTATTTGCTTTCATCTATCAAGTTCAATGTAGATCTTTATCCGAAACAATATCTCCAAGTTCACCACCAACATCATTAGAAACAACCGCCTTTGTTATCCCTCCATCACCGTCACCATCCATTGCCGCGGCCCCTTATAATGATCCCTCGTACGTTCTCTCACCAAGTTCCGCCCCAATCGCCATGCAAGACGCCGATGGGGATCCAATTGATCTCCCCATCACCTTCAACCCCTTTGACCTCAACCATGATCAACAAGAAGAATCATTAACCACCACCAACACGGCGGCTAATAACCCGGACGTAAAGAAAACTTGTGATGCCACGGATAATCCTGACCTTTGCATTTCCTCCTTAAAGCCATTCCTAATGCATAATAACATAATGGTGTTAAAAAAACGGACACGTTCTCTTTACTTGGGATGCAAGTTAAAGCGACGCAACAAGCCACGCAACTTGCCCTAGCCTTGAGTACTAAAAAATTAGGGCAAACCGATAATGATATGGATGTCCTTAGAGATTGCAAGGAGATGTACGATAATGCTTTGGATAATTTAGATAAGGTTGTAAAAGCACTTGAATCCAAAGATATTGGTACTATTAATAGTATGTTAAGCGCCACGATTTCGGATTTTGGTACGTGTGATGATGGTGTACAAGAAAGTGGTGGTACGTCTCCCTTGGTTGGTTATGGAAATAAATTGACTGAATTGGTTAGTAATTGTCTTGCCACAGTTTCTCTTATTAAGGATAATGGTGCGACGACATGATATTGAACACCATCTGGTTCCTCTTCGGTTTCTTTTAATTATCGGAATAATTTTTACTCTCAATACGACATTAAATTTAAGGATGAAGAAAATTATACGGGGTGTTTGGAATTTTTTTTTCCTAAATGAGATGTTGTGTTTGAAGATGAGAATTGAAGGAAAGAATTGGGGAGAATCCTGTTTCAAATTATGTCCCCTGTATTTTATACTCGGTCTAATCAATGATTGAAGTATAATTTTAGTAAGGTAAAGATTCATAGTGTCAATTTTTTCTTTGTTATATGTATTTCTATAAGGGTTACAACATAGGCCTAATACAAAAGGCCATTGATATCTCCGGCTTCTATCTAGTCATCCTAGCAACTTGATTAGCTTCACGCACTTGGTCCTGCGACCCTTGCCTTAATGATAGCCTACCTAGCTGCTAGAGGAGTTCCCTAAATTCATCATATATGCATTACTGAGCTCATCCCACACTTTAGAGCAAAGAGTGACACGCACCTTGAATAGCAAATCAAAGTGCAAGCAATAACCGTAGTAATGAGTAAAAGTTCCAAGTGTAATAATGCATGTCTAGCCAAAATGATGGACAAAGGTAAAATTAGAGGCTAAGGGCCTGTTCTCTTACGTTGAAATTCAATTCAATTCAATTCAGTTCAGTTCAGTTCAGCTCCTAATTTCCTTCTCTTATAAAATATTCATTTCAGTTCAGTTCAGTTCAGTTCAGTTCAGTTCAGCTGAGTTCGGTAAATGAGAACAGGCCCTAAGTATAGTAAAGAGAAAATAAAATTAGGGATAAAAGCATGAAACTAATAATAACGTAGGGCTCATTATTATTGAAGTAGTAAATAGATATAACATAGATGTGCATGCATGGTACGTAGCTAGTTAGCTAGCTAGGAAAGAAACTAACTAACAAATAATTAAAGCACGTACATACATGCATGCATGTTAATTATGATGAGTGAGCCATGCATACTAATTACGAACGAAAGTACGTAGAATTACATAGTTCCAAAATTAGCACCAACAGATGCGAAGTTTTTGCCAGGGAGGATGTTAGCACTGCAGGTGGTCTTGGTAATTGGTTCCATGAAGCTCGAGAAAGTGGATGATACGTCGAGAGAAGCTTCGATTTGGTTCCAATTAATATTCTGGAAATCAGTGGCATCGCCACATTTGACGTAAACCTTGTTAGGATTGTTGGTGGTGGGAAATTTGGGAGCAGACCAAGCCAATAGCCATGCACAACTTTTAGCAGTACTGTTGTTGCCCAAGTACACTACGGCTCCCTTGGATCCATCGTTATCTGTCGCCGAATGAGTAAAGCTGTCGCCTTTGCTGACATCAATGACCGAAGGATATTCACCAGTCATCACTTCCCCATGCCAATCCTGATTCATTGAAAAATTAACCCTTCCAGGGGTGGAGTTCATCATCGAGACGACTGCACTGTTTTGTTGTTGACTATTGGCCGCTGCACCATTGTTCTGTTTCATCCCAATGTTTTTCGCCACCTCTACCATCTTCTCCACAATCTCTTTGTCTTGTGCATTCATCACAACTGTTTCTTGTGCTGAGGCCATTTTTTTCCTTCAGTACCTATAACAAATTTTAACTGCAAATTAGTAATTCAGTTTAACCCGATATATATATATATATATATATAGATGACTTGCTTTAATATATTTGATAACAAATATAAATGCATACTATATATATGAAGACTCTTCTATGTATATGATATACATGACATTACCTTGATCGGAAGTTCGGATGTTGGTTATTTGTATGCTAGAGATCAGAAGCTTGTGTGTTGCACTGCGCCAATTACCTACCCATCCTTTGCATATTTATACACAAATCCTTACCTTATACATACTTGTTGTACTCCTATTAGCTTCTTCATAACCGTAGTGTATTGAATTCGATCTCTACTTTAGAAATTCACGCACTATTTTTGCATATATTCTCCACTTTAAATTGTCTACCTAGCCTTATTATTTACTTTTGCATATATTCTCTCTTATCATTAATGTGATGATAGATAGGTATATTGTTATCATCTCATTTAGTCCCATATGAATATCAATACTTGTAACTTTGGAAGGTCCACATTTTTTCAAACCAATGCAAGGATATAACTTATATGAGGGATGGGCGGAGAAATTGAGCTGAGGGATATAGCTGGTTAGAGCTTTTCTTCCAGTTTCAAATGATCCTAAGATCGATATTGACATATATATGTAAATGTTATGGCTAAATTTCATGTGGATCTTATGTTTTGTTATGAGATTGTTTCATTATTGGTTCAAAATAATATGGGGTTGTTAAAGTTATAAAGTACAAAATTTTCAAATAAAATCATATGAATCAAATAAACATCCTCCTTACGACTAAAAGATATGTTAGATAAAAACCTTTTAATAAGACTGCATTTTCTAGCTAGGGATATAAGAGTGGGATTTTCCATAATGTAAATATCGATATTAAAAGTAATTTAACATTACAATTGAAGTTGTTTAAAAAAAATTACAATTAAAGCGGCATAATCTAGTTCTTCATTACCGAATAAGAATTTTAAGAGAAGTAGTCAAAATAATGACACAATGTTATTCCTTTGTTTTGTGTATGATATTGTTTACCTCAAATTGAAATGATGATGTTAATTACTACTTACTGATAAAGTGATTATGAGTTGATGACATGCATTTCGTATTTTAAGAGAATAATAGCACTGCAATTTTCATTTTGTTTTGTCTACGAGAAGACAGGTACAATGAACATGTTTAAGCTAGACATGTAAAATTTGGTAAAACAGGACTAAACTTATTAGGGCCGTGATTAATAGCAATTGTAGCTTAAATTGGTCCATAGTTTTTGTGTATGTTATTAATCAAATAATGAAATAATCACCCAACCTTCCAGCAGTATATTAACTCTGTAGAGTTCTAGCTGAAATCTAATCTTTAGTAGTCCTCATCACCAAGTGTTCGAATCGAAGGTATCATGATCTTACTCTGGAGTCAATGAATGATGCTAACATTGTAAAGAATGCAAAATTCGAATAATACGTTACTAAAAATCTCGGATTAGTTACTGTAATAGTTGCAATTGCAAAATTTACAGGAAGAATTATTGAAGAAGATTGATTTTGATTTAATATATGTATGATCCTTAAATCATGGATATAAATTTATCAAAACTGAATATAATGGCCTGTTTTTCTCTTTAAAGTTGTGAATTAAGTTCTAATCCGAGATGTTTTTCTCTTTAAAATGTGGTGAGAATGATATGATTAGTATTCTTATTTTTCATGCTTAGGTTTTATCTTGTTTGAAATGAGTTGAATGAGTCTATTGACTTTGTGGCTATGATGCGAGCGTGTAGTATCATCAAAAATTGGGAGGAAGTGAGATGTGGATACTATGTCGTGTACTATATGTTTGAAACAGTTCAACATCACCGTAGTAATGAGGATCTTGTTAGTATGTGTTGTCAGATCTTTCACTACTAATTCATCAATTTATTTTAAATTGGCTACACTCTTGAATTGATTAGTTTTTGTTTTTGTGTCGTGTTAACAGGATTTTTGAAGAACAATACCTTATAATGGGGAGGAGATAAATGAGGTTCGAGATATTTAGTCAAACTATTTCATGATCAATGTTGAAATTTAGATTTAAACTTAGCTAAATCCATTTGTTTGTTAGACTTTTTTTTGTTTTAGTTCTTAGGCTTGAAATGAATGTATTTGGGGTACCAACATTTTGGGTTGGTCTTTGTTCTTGTGTTGGTTGATGATATCAATAATTTTGAGTTGTAAAATTTTGAGACTCTGCTGAAATTTACATTTAAATTCAATAATATTGCATTTTAATTTCAATTATTAGCGTTAGCATATTACTTTATACCACTAGCAAGGAAAACAGGTACTACAAACATATACAAGGCAATTATTATAATTTAAAAAAAAAAATTCACCTCATTTGCGTCACTCATTAAACAAACAAGTGATGCAAATACAACAATTTTGTATTGTCTACTCAGTCATTTGCGTCACTCCTATATAAATAAGTGACGCAAATAACAAATAAGAAGTTTATCAGAAGAGTCATTTGCGTCGCTCTTAATAAAGGAGTGACGCAAATAATAAAAAAGAAGTTTATCAGAAGAGTTATTTGCGTCGCTCCTTTATAAAGAAGTGACGCAAATAAGAGTCATTTGCGTCGCACTTTTATAAAGGAGTGACGCAAATAACAAAAAACAAGTTTATTAGAAGAGTTATTTGCGTCGCTCCTTTATAAAGGAGCGACGCAAATGACTCTTATTTGCGTCGCGCCTAGGAGCGACGCATATGACTTTTAAGTCATTTAAGTCGCGAGCAGTTGCGTCGCTCATAGAAGCGACGCAAATACACTATAAATGAGCGACGCAAATAAGCCTTTTTCTACTAGTGATTTAATGACGTTTGGAACCATAGATAACCATTATATGTTTTCATAAATGTCCGTGATAGGCTTGAGTTCAAGAAATCGGTGAATGTTTAGAACAGGCTAATTGAGCGTTTTAAGACAAATTAGATGGTTCCACCCACCCAATTGGACTCCTGGAGGGTATTGGGGACTATGGTAAACTTCTCGACAATTTTTATTTCCAAGAAAATAAAGGTCAAAAAATTTCAAAATTATTGAAGGTTATTATCCACGCATTTTAAGGAATTTTTGACGTTACGGGGTCCAGTGGCGAAAAGTCTTGAGACCCTAAAGGATACAGTTTAGGTTAATATAATGACGTTTGGAGCCATATATAACCATTAGATTTTGTTATAAATGTCCGTGGTAGGCTTGAGTTTACGAAATCGGTGCAAGTTTCGAATAGACAAATTGAGTGTTATAAGGCAAATTAGATGGTTCCACCCACCCAATTTGACTTCCGTAGGGTATTATGTACCATGGTAAACATCTCGGAAATTTTTCTTTATGGGAAAAAAAAAGGTCAAAAAATTCCAAAATTGAAGGCTATTATCCATGTTTTTTGAGGAATTTTTGACGTTACGGGTTCTGGTGGAGAAAAATCTTGAGACCCTAGGGGATGCATTTTAGGGTCATATAATGACGTTTGGAATCATATATGTCCATTATATGTAGTCATAAATGTCCGTTGTAGGCTTGAGTTCACGAATTCGGTGCAAATTTTAAACAGGCAAATTGAGTGTTTTTAGGCAAATTAGATGGTTTCACCCACTCAATTGGACTCCTGGAGGGTATTAGGTATCATGGTAAACATCTCGAAAAATTTTATTTTCGGGCAAAAAATGGTCAAAATATTTCAAAATTGAAGACTATTATCCACGCTTTTTGAGGAATTTTTGACGTTATGTGGTCCAGTGGAGAAAAGTCTTGAAACCATAAAGGATACATTTTAGGGTCATTTAATGACGTTTGGAACCATAGATAACCATTATATGTTTTCATAAATGTCCGCGATAGGCTTGAGTTCACGAAATCGGTGAGTGTTTAAAACAGGCTAATTGAGCGTTTTAAGGAAAATTAGAAGGTTCCACCCACCCAATTGGACTCCTGGAGGGTATTGGGGACTATGGTAAATTTATCGGCAATTTTTATATCCGAGCAAATAAAGGTCAAGCATTTACAAAATTGAAGGCTATTATCCACGCATTTTAAGTAATTTTTGACGTTACGGGGTTCGGTGGAGAAAAGTCTTGAGACCCTAAAGGATATTTTTTAGGGTAATATAATGACGTTTGGATCCATATATAACCATTATATGTTGTTAAAAATTTTTGTGGTAGACTTGAGTTTACGAAATAGGTGCAAGTTTCGAATGGACAAATTGAGTGTTATAAGGCAAATTAGATGGTTTCATGATAACTTGCTATTTGATATGATTTTAGGGTGTTTTGAACCTAGTTTACTTGATAAAATTTGCGTTTTGGTTCATTTTTACTGTATTATTATGCAATTTTTGTGTATCCTATGCTTCACGGGTTGTTGGTGTTTTTGTTGAGATTATAGGTTCAAAAAAACGACCAAATGGAGCCCATGGATACAAAGCCGAGGTTAGAAGCAAGAAGATGGTTAAAAGAAGCCAAGGAAAGGAGCAATATAGAAGAAAAGATGGAAAAAAGAGCTTAAAAGACCCTGCACGGCCGTGCCAGACCTTGCACGTCCGTGCAGGAGGTTCCAGAAAGTTTCAACAAGCTGCCAAGGCCTGCACGGCCGTGCTTAATTTTGTACATTATGGAAAATCCCACTCTTATATTCCTAGCTAGAAAATGCAGTCTTATTAAAAGGTTTTTATCTAACATATCTTTTAGTCGTAAGGAGGATGTTTATTTGATTCATATGATTTTATTTGAAAATTTTGTACTTTATAACTTTAACAACCCCATATTATTTTGAACCAATAATGAAACAATCTCATAACAAAACATAAGATCCACATGAAATTTAGCCATAACATTTACATATATATGTCAATATCGATCTTAGGATCATTTGAAACTGGAAGAAAAGCTCTAACCAGCTATATCCCTCAGCTCAATTTCTCCGCCCATCCCTCATATAAGTTATATCCTTGCATTGGTTTGAAAAAATGTGGACCTTCCAAAGTTACAAGTATTGATATTCATATGGGACCAAATGAGATGATAACAATATACCTATCTATCATCACATTAATGATAAGAGAGAATATATGCAAAAGTAAATAATAAGGCTAGGTAGACAATTTAAAGTGGAGAATATATGCAAAAATAGTGCGTGAATTTCTAAAGTAGAGATCGAATTCAATACACTACGGTTATGAAGAAGCTAATAGGAGTACAACAAGTATGTATAAGGTAAGGATTTGTGTATAAATATGCAAAGGATGGGTAGGTAATTGGCGCAGTGCAACACACAAGCTTCTGATCTCTAGCATACAAATAACCAACATCCGAACTTCCGATCAAGGTAATGTCATGTATATCATATACATAGAAGAGTCTTCATATATATAGTATGCATTTATATTTGTTATCAAATATATTAAAGCAAGTCATCTATATATATATATATCGGGTTAAACTGAATTACTAATTTGCAGTTAAAATTTGTTATAGGTACTGAAGGAAAAAAATGGCCTCAGCACAAGAAACAGTTGTGATGAATGCACAAGACAAAGAGATTGTGGAGAAGATGGTAGAGGTGGCGAAAAACATTGGGATGAAACAGAACAATGGTGCAGCGGCCAATAGTCAACAACAAAACAGTGCAGTCGTCTCGATGATGAACTCCACCCCTGGAAGGGTTAATTTTTCAATGAATCAGGATTGGCATGGGGAAGTGATGACTGGTGAATATCCTTCGGTCATTGATGTCAGCAAAGGCGACAGCTTTACTCATTCGGCGACAGATAACGATGGATCCAAGGGAGCCGTAGTGTACTTGGGCAACAACAGTACTGCTAAAAGTTGTGCATGGCTATTGGCTTGGTCTGCTCCCAAATTTCCCACCACCAACAATCCTAACAAGGTTTACGTCAAATGTGGCGATGCCACTGATTTCCAGAATATTAATTGGAACCAAATCGAAGCTTCTCTCGACGTATCATCCACTTTCTCGAGCTTCATGGAACCAATTACCAAGACCACCTGCAGTGCTAACATCCTCCCTGGCAAAAACTTCGCATCTGTTGGTGCTAATTTTGGAACTATGTAATTCTACGTACTTTCGTTCGTAATTAGTATGCATGGCTCACTCATCATAATTAACATGCATGCATGTATGTACGTGCTTTAATTATTTGTTAGTTAGTTTCTTTCCTAGCTAGCTAACTAGCTACGTACCATGCATGCACATCTATGTTATATCTATTTACTACTTCAATAATAATGAGCCCTACGTTATTATTAGTTTCATGCTTTTATCCCTAATTTTATTTTCTCTTTACTATACTTAGGGCCTGTTCTCATTTACCGAACTCAGCTGAACTGAACTGAACTGAACTGAACTGAACTGAAATGAATATTTTATAAGAGAAGGAAATTAGGAGCTGAACTGAACTGAACTGAATTGAATTGAATTGAATTTCAACGTAAGAGAACAGACCCTTAGCCTCTAATTTTACCTTTGTCCATCATTTTGGCTAGACATGCATTATTACACTTGGAACTTTTACTCATTACTACGGTTATTGCTTGCACTTTGATTTTCTATTCAAGGTGCGTGTCACTCTTTGCTCTAAAGTGTGGGATGAGCTCAGTAATGCATATATGATGAATTTAGAGAACTCCTCTAGCAGCTAGGTAGGCTATCATTAAGGCAAGGGTCGCAGGACCAAGTGCGTGAAGCTAATCAAGTTGCTAGGATGACTAGATAGAAGCCGGAGATATCAATGGCCTTTTGTATTAGGCCTATGTTGTAACCCTTATAGAAATACATATAACAAAGAAAAAATTGACACTATGAATCTTTACCTTACTAAAATTATACTTCAATCATTGATTAGACCGAGTATAAAATACAGGGGACATAATTTGAAACAGGATTCTCCCCAATTCTTTCCTTCAATTCTCATCTTCAAACACAACATCTCATTTAGGAAAAAAAAATTCCAAACACCCCGTATAATTTTCTTCATCCTTAAATTTAATGTCGTATTGAGAGTAAAAATTATTCCGATAATTAAAAGAAACCGAAGAGGAACCAGATGGTGTTCAATATCATGTCGTCGCACCATTATCCTTAATAAGAGAAACTGTGGCAAGACAATTACTAACCAATTCAGTCAATTTATTTCCATAACCAACCAAGGGAGACGTACCACCACTTTCTTGTACACCATCATCACACGTACCA